TTTGGCGCCTGCCTTTGGCCCAGGGCGCGATCCTGGAGACCCCGGATCGAATCCCACGTCGGGCTCCCGGTGCATGGAGCCTGCTTCTCCCTCTGCCTGTGTCTCTGCCTCTCTCTCTCTGTATGACTATCGTAAATAAATTAAAAAAAAAAAAGAAATTAGAAAGGAAATCATCAGAAATGTGTGTATAAGAGTATTTCCCCATGTTGCTTGTAATAGTGAAGTAGAATCAACCTAAATATCCAACAATAGAGGATTCATAGTTTTAATTAGAAGCACCGAATACTAGCTCTGATTAATTTAAGCAGAAAAGAGATTTATTAAAAGGTGTTGGGAAAGGTCAGGCATAGAACCAATCTTATAGAGGCTACACGGCCAGAAACATATCCATATATACCATAAAACTGGCCCAGTGAAGCTATCACTGCCGCTATTGCTGGGCACAAGTCACCTTATACTCCCAGTGCTGCATCTAAAAACTCAACATAAATGTGTCGCTTTTGCCAGAAGAAATTCTCTACTTTAAGCCACAAACTTCCCATTCAAAGTCTGGAGCACCACATTATTATGTCTGATTTGGTAAACCCAAGTCATGTAGCTACTCCATGCTGCGGGGAAAACTGAGAAGGGAACTACCTGGCATTTAACACCTCCATACTGAGAGGCAGGCTCTGCCTCATAAGATTAGGAATAGTTTAAATGCAAAAAAGTGGAGTCCAGATGCTAAGCAGCCAGAAAGAATTACATTTGCCCACTAGGTTAATGTTAATACAAGAGAAAGCTGAAAAGCATGTTAACAGAAGACTACAAGTGAAAAAAAAAGCAGCTGCCATTTTATTAAATGTTTTAACACTGGTTATAAGCCAGTGAATGTTTTTTCCTCCTTTGAGGTATATTTTCTAGATTTTCTTCAATTAACATTTATTGCCTTTTTTTTTTATGTAAAATGTCCAACTGGTAAGGAATTATTCATGTTGGGTTTTTTAAATTTTTGTGAGAAAATAAATTTAACATCTTAACCATTTTCAAGTATACAGTTCATATGTGTTAAGTATGTTCACAATGTTGTGCAACCAATCTCCAGAACTCTTCATCTTGCAAAATCAAAACTCTGCACTTATTTTTTTTTAATTTTTATTTATTTATGATACACAGAATGAGAGAGAGAGGCAGAGACACAGGCAGAGGGAGAAGCAGGCTCCATGCACCGGAGCCCGGCGTGGGATTCGATCCTGGGTCTCCAGGATCGCGCCCTGGGCCAAAGGCAGGCGCTAAACCGCTGCGCCACCCAGGGATCCCAACTCTGCACTTATTAAATAGCAACTCCCCAATTCTCCCTTCCCCTTAGAACCACCACTCTGCTCTGTCTCTATAAATTAGACTCTACCTCCTACAAATGTAATCATACATATTTATCTTTTTGTAACTGGTTTATTTCATTTAGATAAGGTTCAGGGTCTATCTATTATCATAGTATATGTCAGAATTTCCTTCCTTTTTAAGGCTGAATAATATTCTTTGTATCATTGTGTATATTTTGCTTATCCATTCATCCATCAGTGGACAGACACTTGTTGCTAACATCTTTTGGCTGTTGTTTATAATGCTGCTATAAATATGGTTATAGTCTGCAAGAACCTGCTTTTAATTCTTTGGGATATATACCTAGAAATAGAATTACTGGATTATATGGTAATTCTGAGTTTAGTTTTTTGAGAAACTAGCATATCATCTGCACCATGTTACATTCCTACCAACAGTGCATGAGGGTTCCAATTTCTCCACATCCTTGTTAACACTGTTATTTGTTTTTTTTTAAGTTTTTTAATAGTAACCATTCTAATGAATGTAAAGCAGTAGCATTTCTTACTTTTATATAAAATATGTGTATAAATAAAGGCATCAAACTAAAAAATTGTGAAATTAGAAAACATTTTGTTTTTGTTTTGTTATACGTGTGTGTGTGTATATATACACATATATAAACATGACATATAACATCATCATTTTCAGAGTCTGAAAACCATAAAGGCCAGTTATAAAATCACAGGCCCTAGTTAAGGACTGAGTAGTTAGTCCACCTCCTGGGAATTCACATGGCTTCTTGACTTTTGTTCTCTCATGTCCATATGTATATTCATAAAATGTCTTTCTGAAACTCATTTTGACAACTTATTAGTCAAAATTTAAATTTCTTTGGCTTTTTTTTTTTTTAAAGGCACCTTTCCTGGATGTTCTCAACACCATGATGGACACTACACTTCCTCTGACATTAGAAGAATTAGAAGAATGGGGAAATCCTTCATCTGATGAAAAACACAAGAACTACATAAAACGTTACTGTCCCTATCAAAATATCAAGCCACAGGTAGTGCAAGTTGTGATATACTATCCTAAAGTGATAGAAAAGATCATCAAAGGGATACTTACCATGCTGAGGCAGGAATTTTTACTGGGGTTTTAAGTTATTTCTGCTCAAAATACCCAAACACCTCTCAGCAACATCTCTGTTAATACTCAATTTAATAGTTCAATAGAATAGATTAGATATGATCATGGTCTTGCTAGCCAAGGAAAGGCTATTCCAGGTAGCAAGTGGTCTAGTACTATAAAGCTGTATATCTCTCAAAAGCAAATGAGAGGGACGCCTGGGTGGCTCAGAGGTTGAGTGTCTGCCTTCGGCTTAGGGCATGATCCTGGAGTCCCGGGATCAAGCCCCACAGCAGGCTCCCCATGGGGAGCCTGTTTCTCCTCTCTGCCTCTCTCTCTCTCTCTCATGAATAAATAAAATCTTAAAAAAATATAGATAAATAGATAGATAGATGTATGTATGTATATAAAATCCAACACATAAATAACTTCAAAAAAACAAATGAGAAGAAAATATATCTGGCACCTAGATAAAAAAATTGGAGGTAGTTCTTTTTCATAATCTATAGGGTAGAAAAGGACCATAAGGAATAATGTAAACTTAGCATCTATTTTCTTTCAGCATTATCCTTCTATTCATATCACGGCTTATGAAAACGATGAGCGTGTACCTCTGAAAGGAATTGTAAACTATACTGAGAAACTCAAGGAAGCCATTACAGAGCATGCTAAGGACACTGGTGAAGGTAGGAGACTACCTGTATGCAGGGAATGTAGCTAAATGGACTATTCCCTTCCACATACTGCTCGGTAATACACTTTACACTGTAGACTAAGTCATCTGCCTGAGATTTTGGGCAAAAATTGGTTTTCCTATGTTGACTACTCAGTTGAGTCATATATATAATACCTATACTTGTCTCTTTTTGAAAGGAAATATTAAAATAAGGTAGGCAAGGCACAAAGAAAAATAAGTTTAAACATCAAATATAACTTAGAGATGTACTGTCATAAAACATTCATTTAATAATATTAATTGAGCCATTATTCTTGGAAACCTCTAAAAAAGAGATTCTGAAGCTTTTGCTCTGGAGCTTCAGTGCCCAAGCTAGCTGCTGTAATTTTCTCTAGGTCTTTCCATTTCACTGGACAAGAACTATTACCTTTCTTCCTTAACAAGACCTTCTGGGCTTAATTAGGGTGGGAGGGACCCATATACAAGTTTTCAGTCACCTTGTTTTCACTCCATGCTTCACACTCACATACTACAATAGAAGCTGTTTCCAGGTCACAAAGACTCTGATTCCATAGGGCCAGTTGGCTTCCTCTTGTGTCACAACCTTCTCCATGTGGCCCTGCAAGTGTCTTCCATCTAGTGTCTTCGGCCACTGGTTCTCCTCCTCCTGCTTTCTCTGTTTCAGAAGTCTGCCTTCTACTGCTTGCCCCCTCCCATCTCTTTCTTGGTGGTGATAGTTTATGCCTTTTTCCTTCATTTATTATTTTAATAGCACATGTGGGAGGAAAGAGGGTGAAAAATGAGTCTCAAAAAACCTAATTGTTTCATGTTAATTCTTTCAGGTTATCAGGCCCCCAATGTTGTTTTAGATATTCAGCCTGGAGGCAATCATGTAATTGAGGATTCCCACAAAAAGGTATGTTATCAAGCCCCTCTCAGTTTCCAGATGCACAAGTAGAAATGTGTTGCAGTTAACATTTCAGTGGTTGCATCAGGGTTTATGACAGCTGCTTCATTAACTGTCAAGGAGGGGTGGGGAGGAAGAACAGTGAAGTCAGTCAAGAAAAAGGGTTCCCTCTTAACACTTATAAATGAGATCTATTAAAGAAAGTAATGGAATCTTAATTTTTGGGAGCACCTTCTGCCTCTCTCCCAAATAATAAAAGTACCTTTGCCATAAGTTGCTGACTTGAGGCTTAGGTGAAGATGGATAGACCAAGAGCTTTAGCACTGGAGTTTTACAACAGAGGCCTTCTAATTTTTTAATGTGTTTCTTTTAGATTACAGCCCAAATTAAATTCTTGTACGAGGAACTTGGACTTGACAGCACCAGTATTTTCGAGAATCTTAAGAAATACCTAAAATTCTGAAATGCTGCATTCCATGAGAATTGGAAACACTGAAATATTTCATAGTCTTATTTCCAATTGGGTAAGCAAAAGTGAGATTTTTTTTAAGTTAGTAATTTTCTAAAATTTGCTTCTCCATCCAAACTTTGTCTAATGTACATCTCACTTGCTTATGTCATTCTCTTCACTGGTGCATATGCCCCTCAGCCTGGGAAAGTAGTTTTCAAACCATGCTCCTCAGAAGGACATGGAGTTGGGGGTGAAGGAAGGATTGGTGACAGCACAACTCTCCCCACACCCCCATCAGAACAGCTTTGTTTTTTGTCTGTTCTAACATTTTCTTTGAAAAGTTTACAAATCAAGGTCCTGCCTCTTTGCTAGTGAATGTTTTTAAGACACTTCAGCAGTAAGTCATCCTCCAATTTTCTATGCCTGTATTTTACGAAAAAAGATAACATTCTTCACATTAGAATTCAGCAGATCTTTCTAATATCTGGAGTCCTGAGGTTCCAATCATCTCTTGTATTAATACTATCTCAACAAAGTTACAAGTTCTGCAAGTGATAATTTTATTATTTTTTAAAAACATTTGGGAACCTTTGCATTCAAGCTGTTTTTACCCAGCAGCATGCTATACATGAAGTTACTGCAAATGCTTGTAATAAAACAGAATGCTAGTGTCTTCATCTCTTTCATAGAGGTACCTAACACAAGCTGTGCAGTATGTTTAATACACTGGAATAGCATGCCCGATTGGAAACAAAGCATCTGTCTTTGAAAGCTGTTTGGTGATGAAGGAGATTGTTCGTGTTGTATTCAAGGATGAGGCCTTCTCCTTTATCCAGTAAAATGGCATTTGTATCAACTGTATTGCGATCGTCAGCAGAATTAGTACTTAACCTTATTCTCATTCTTGCGGGAATGTTGGAAATCATTTCCTGGAGATTTACCAGTGATAATTCTCCAAAATTCAGAACCACGAGAAAGACTCTATCAATGCCATCCAGCTCTCTTGCGTATACAACAGAGTGGCTGTCATTCCTCAAATAGCAAAACCAGCCCCTGCTGAGGAGCAGGTCATTGGCATGAAGCAAACTTAATTCTTGATATAACTTCAATGCTGATCTGGACTGAGTCTTTTGGACCTATTTAAAAAAAAAAAAAATCAACATAAATGTTTGATTCTAAGAGTTGTTTAGGGTTTTTTTAATATATTTTTAGTATCAAATAGAAACTTCCTTCCCCAAAAAATTTGCGCCTCAGTTTGTGCTTCTTAAAATGACTACCAAGTTATATGTATTGATAGGTAATAAGAATAGTTTAACTATTGAGAGGTATTGGAAATTCAGGGAGTCATCGTATGCACAGTGCTCTGCTACATCTTGGCCAGAGATGATGAGGGACCAAATTTGACTCCACTTAGGAATCCCTAACCAAATGTCCATGTCTAAGTTATCTGGTGTTTAACTTGCCTAAATACAGTCCCTTTATGCTACATTGTAACTGATAGAAAAGCAGCCACTGTGGCTGTGGACTCTGAGGGCCTCTCTGTTCTGTTTTGTAGAATAATATGTGGGTTGTTTTAACTTCAGCAGATATGTATTCCTACAATAGCTAATGGTGAACAGGAGGTTGCAAAAAGGGATAAAAAGCAAAATGCTTTCCCTAAAGGGAAAGTTAAAAATTGTACTTCTTTAATGTGTGTCCATTAAGGAAGATCAGGCTTTATTTCACAGCTATATAAAAAATATACAATTTAATGTTGTGTTTTCCTTTAACATTTCAGGCATCTTCTCCTGTTATTATGTTAAAAATGTCATTTTAATAATGACAAGATAATATTCTATTGGATGGATATACCATACTTAATCATCTCTCTCATTTCAACATTCAACTTTCTAATATTTTCTGTGCATCCCTCATATTTGAGTTATTTAGTACAGAAAGACAATTGCTATGTCAAAGAGTATGGACACTTGATTCATAATGCCAAATTAGTCTTCATCAGAGCTATTGCCAAATCAGTGGTAATGTTCATTTCCTTGGACTCTTGCCAGCCATGTTGACTGCAGTGGTGGTGTTGGCTGTTGTTGCTGTTACTGTTGTTTGGGGGCAAGTGCCTAATGTGTGGTCTTCAGTGAACATCTACTGAATGTCTGAAAAAATGTTTATTCTCTATTAACAGGTACAAAGGTATTTATGGTATATGTATATGGTGTATGTATATGACTTGTCAAATTACTATTAACATTTCCTATAGCCTTAGATAATGCATGGAAAAGTATAGTTCAGTGCCACTCACAAAGAAGTGCCCAGTAAGTGTTAACTATTATTTGTGTCTCCTTCCTAAAAGTATGTTGACATGTCTCTCTGTAATTGTGGATTTGTCACTTTCTCTTGACATTTCTCATAGTACTTGTTTTATAAATTTTGGAGCTATTGTTAGATGCATAGATTCATGACTTGTAGTGGAATGTTCTTTTATCAATTTTTGAAAATTGCATTTGTCTCATAATGCTTTTCATATTGAATTCTATTTTGTCTGCTATTAAATATTTCCACACCTGCTTTTTGTAACTTTATTCTTCTAGTAGGAAATGCATGCACACAGTATAAAATTTATGAGAACAATATATAAAATAAGGTTTTTCCTAATACCACCTCTAGCTTTTCTCTTCCTCTCTCAGAAATAGACACTATTATGATTATGTGTGATACATGTTGTGCCTGTGCAAACATGTACGTCTACTTTTTCACTATGGCATGATACCGTTATAGATGCTATTTCTTATTTAGTACATGTTAGAGATAGTTTCATAATATCAGTGCATTCTTTTTTAAAGCTGCATACTAGTCCATTTTATAAATTAACCATAACCAAGTCAACTTTCTATTGATAAGATATTTAAATCATTTTCAAGTCATCTTCTTTTTAAAAAAATGTGATAGAGATCCTTGAATATTTATCATTTTCCACATAAGCAGGTATTCACAGAATGAAGTTACTGCGTTCAAAAGGTTAGATGCATTTTTGGTTTGATAGCTATAGCCAGGAGGCAAGCTTTATTTTAAAATTTTTATTTTAGCAGTCTTCTGTCAGATTTTGTCTTGGTATCTTAATCTGTTTTTATCTTCTAGTAGGTGAATTTCACCATTTATATTTGTGTTTATCATATGTTCAGATATAATCCTACAGCACTTTATTTTTATTTATAATTGTGCTATTTTCATCCTTTTTAACATCAAATTGATTTGATGTAATATTTTTCCTTCTAATGTTCTTTGAAAATTATACACTTAAAATTGCAGTGCCCATTTAAAAATATTTTTTCTTGACATTTGGAGCAATGCTGTCTAACTTCCTGCGGTGCTGGAAGTGTTCTGTATCTGTGCTGTTCAATGTGGTAGCCACTAGCTACAGTGCACTTGAAATGGTGCCAGTGTGTCACAGAAAGTGAATTTTTCAGTCCATTTAATAGTCTTAGTGGTTAATGGCTACTAGGCAGCTCAAATCCAGAGTGAGTTACTCTGTTTCCATGCCCTGAAAAGACCATGCTGCCTGCTCTCCTGCCACTTTCCATATTTAGAAGTCAATCACTAAGATTTTTGTTTCAGAATATCTTCTTTACCTTTTTTTACATTGTATATCAAAAAATATCCTTAAGTTCTGTTGGTCCTTTTTTGTTGTTGTTGTTGTTGGTCCTTTCCTGACTGTGTTTTATAGATCATGTCTTTTTTTTTTTTTTTTAAGCCATCTCTACACGCAGTTTGGGACTCAAAACCCTGAAATTGAGAGTCACGTGCTCTGAGCCAGCCAGCACCCTACATCATTGTCTTTTTAGATTCATTTTTTGAGTTCCTGATTATTCCTTCAGAAACTATATATGCAAAACTTGGGGTCCTTGCTTTTCCAGATCTATATTCTTGAATACTAATTTGAATGGATACAGGATTGTAGGTATAGAATCAGATTTCCATCACACTTTTATTAAAGATTAAAGTTCTAACGTGTTCTAGGATCCTCTTGAGAAGCCAATCCAACTCTCAGTCCTTTCCTCAGGCAAGTTTGATTTTGGTTTCTACATATTTTTAGGGTATTTTCTTTATTCTTGCCATTCTAGAAAAGAAAATTTCTCTGAGTTTAGTTTCTCTTCTCTTCTAGAAACACCAAAATTTTTCTTTTATTTTGCTTTTTTACAGTGCATTCTGGGAGGAGCCTCTGGATCAGTTTTCCAACACCCTAATTAGAATTTCTATTTCAGTGTTTCACAATGTTTTACATTTCTAAGATATGTAGATATCTAAGATATGTTTGCTGTATCCCCTCTACTTTCTAGTGTTCTGGTAAGAGTGGAGTGTCTCATCTTTTCTCAAATATGGTGTGATTCTTGGTGATCCATTTACTTTTGCATTTTGATACCCCTTGTCTTTAGTTGCCTACCTCTAATAATTATGGAAAGCTTAATTTGACTTTCCTTTAGAAGTTACTTAAATTTTTATCTATCTCTAGGGCTTTTGTGGAGTTTATTAAATAGCATTGCTTGAGACATTTTGTTACTCATGATCATTTGAAAGGCTTGACTAGTGTTATAGAAAAATTTTAATTTGCACTTGTACTTTTTCATCTTTCTGATATACATTTTTATGTAGGATTTCTTTTTTTCTTTTCCTTATTCATGAAAGAGAGAGAGGCAGGGGGAGAAGCAGGCTCCCTTCTGTGAGCCTGATGCAGGACTTGATCCCGGGATCACAACCTGAGCCAAAGGTAGATGCTCAACCATTAAACCCCTTAGGAGTCCCTATAGGATTTCTTATGTATAGAACATAACAAAAATCAAGAGATTTAATCCAAAACACAAATGTTAAAATACATATTTTTGTTTTCAAAGACCTATGAATATATAAAACAAAACTAATACTATATCCCTGAAGCCTCTGGAGTTTGGATCAGGGAGCTGTAGGAACAGGACAGTTTGCATAAAGCCCAAAACAATAACATGGGAAGACTGCACTTACTGTGGTGGTGAGCATTGTCAAATCACTACATGTACACCTGAAACTAATATAACATTGTATGTCATCTATACTTTGGGGTAAGGGGAAATTTTTTAAGTCTCGTGGAATGCTAGTAATTTCTCTGGCACATGATTCCACTTGGAGCCATTTCATACTGCTCTGGTCTAAGGAAATATACTTAGCACTTTGCCAAATTGAGCAAACCAGTTTTCTAAACAGGAATGCACAGATTCCAGCAAATCCAGCTGGATTTGGCAAACTTGATCACCCAAGAACAATAAATAGTATGGGCAAAAGCCAAAGGATGTACTTTTCCAGAACAGCTACTTTTATGAATTCATTGACTTTTATGAATGTCTTGGTTTCTCCAGGTAAATAGCCTTGATGGGTCTCCTTTCCTTCCTTTTGTGGGCAGGAAAGGAAAACAAATAGCTGGTCTTGCCAGTGAATAATATATTCTATACTATATTTCACATGGTGTACTTATGTACCAGTTTGTAATGATTTGAAAACTGTAAGAGAAGTCTACGTGATTGATTTAGGGAGAGCATCAGTTAAAATTTTAGTTACCCTCAGGGTGACTGTATAGTATCAGCACAGAAACTCATTTCCTGTTTCTGGAATCAGATTAACATTTTGATACTTACGTCAACATTCACAGTATGGTAATCTGAACTGGTGGGTAACCAGGTGTGATTGGCTTCAGAAAAACCAGCATTTGAACTATTGTCCCACTGCATTGGTGACTTTGAGAGAAGAGTATTCTGTGTCGAAAGACCATAAAGAGAAAACATTGGTCTAGTTAGTAAAAGAAGTATCATTTGTCCATAATTTACTTCATAATTAATTCCTTACTTAAGCCAGCTTCACACTTTTTTTGGAAAATAGTGACATCTTGAGTTTCAATAAACTATAGTAACTAGACTTTGATACATGCTTGGAGTCTTTGCTTTTTTTCCCCTAAAAATGAGTAATGTAGGATTTCAAAATGTACCGTTACCAATTCATTCTGTGGTACAGTGATGCAGCCATGTATAAGTAAGAGGACAATTCTGTCCTCTTTTATCCAGCCTAGTTATTGCTCATGAGTGCACATACACAAATTTAGGAAGTGCACACCAAATAAATATTAGGGAAATTGGATCTCCTAATATTGAAAACTAACCAAATTATTTCAGGTTCACCCAACAACACAATTTTGAGATTCATAAAACAAAAACAAAATAAAAACCACTGAAGTCTGAGGCTGTGCATTTACATTTGTTAATGTGAAAGGACGAATTTTTTTAAAAGGACGAATATTCTGTGTTCAAAGAAATCTAGCAGTACAGACAATCAGTATAATTAATGATCCTAACTCCATATTTCAGATAGAGGGCAATAAGTAATATTCCAAACTCAAAACATGGGATCTCAAAGTCTAATGTGCCTACGAATCAGATGGAAAACAACATAGATTCCTGGGCTCTACAATTCAGTTGTATGTCTCAGGAAACAGCATTTTTAAGCCCCCAACCAAGACAGTTGACTAATAATAAGAAAGGAAAGCAGAGAGTAATCATTTTCAGCCATAGAATAGGAATAGTAAATTCTTATGTTAACTTACAACATCATAGCTTTCATTGAAATTTGTGACTAAAATATTTCTCATTCCTATTTCTTCCCCATAGTAAGTTATGGGAGTTCCAGGGAGTGTGAAAACAAGCATGTTCATGATGTTGACATATTCTTCCCCAAAACGAGAAGTTAGCCGGGCATTGTCCGGTCCACCGATCTGAAAGGCAGATATTTTAAGAACACAGCTCAATATACAGTTTTCTGGAAGATTTACCCTATTCCACAAAAAGTTCATCTGTGGGTACCTTGGTATCAGCAAGCCTGGATTTGAGTCCCAACCCTGCTACTTACTGTGTAATTGATCAATTTACTGTCTTGGCATTAGGATTAACAAAATGGTGGTAACAAGTTTCTTCATTGAGATTACAAATACAAAATTTATGATGGTGCATATTAATATTTTCTCACATTTGGATAAAAGAATATGGACAAGAAAGAAAACAAAAATGTTTCTCCTGTAGCACAACAAGGAGGGAACAGGTGGAAAGAACAGAGGCAGCAGAGATTTCTAAGGGGGGGAGGGGTGACTTCTGAACTATTTAAAAATTTACACCAAATTTTATAGGGAAATGTACATAGCCCAAGAGTAAATTTTCTAAAGTGTTTTCTATTTTTAAGTTTGGCTATTTCTATGTTAAATGCTCTAATTACATAATATTACATGTTATCTAGTCCTTAAACATCATAGCTTTTGTTAAACTGTACCATACATACCACAACTCAATTTCATATGCATATGTTGAGCATGGCATTTTACTATTTATAAAGTACTTATAGGGCACCTGGCCGGCTCGTCAAAAGAGCTTGCAACTCTTAGTCTTGGTGTCATGAGTTTGAGCTGCACATGGATGTAGAGATTACTTAAATAAACTTTTAAAAAAAAAAAAGTAATTTCACACCTACATTACATCTTATTGTCCTGCTCCATTGTCAGGTATTGTCTCCATTTTACTAAAGATGAAACAAGCTCTCTGAGAAACCACATCACTTATTCAAGGCAGGGTATGGTGTAAAACCAGCCTTTGAGAATAAGAACTTAGTTGGATCATTATAAACTATTACTCTATTTTTATGGCCAGAAAAGTCAAATTTTGCTTCTGTTTATTTTCATTATCTTGAGAGCCTTTGATAAGAAACTATGGTTTCTCAAGCTTTGTGGACTTAGAGCACTTTCTTTCTCAGAACTGAAATTAATATTTCCACAGATAGTTCACAGCAATGGACAGAAATCCCAGTCACCTATGATATTGGAGACTCAATATATGAAAAAACAAGTGCTAAAACTCCATTATTAAATTTTGTAATATAGGGGGCACTTGTGGAATGGTAGGGGAAGGAACTCTAAAATCTCTACCATAAAAGCAAGGAGAATGCTGGCAAAAACTAAAAATCCACTGTTTCAGAACTCTGGAAACTAGCTAAAGGCTTTCAACCTTCCAAGAAGCATTTACTCAAGAAAAATGACAGGCTTTATGTCCTTTTAACTGGCCTTGAACTCCTGCCCCTGAGACCCATGATAGCCTTCCAAACAATCTTGGAACTACCATAGCTGGAGGGGCAGAATAAGTTTAGAGTTCACCAAAACTCAATTTAGAGAACTGTCACTATTTGGCCTAAGCACTCACTTTTAGTTGGATTTTTTTTTTTTTTTTAAATCTGAGAAATGCCCTGTCCCCAAGGTATTTGCCAGAAACAATCAACAACAATTGTTTAACATCCCACCTGCCTGCGGTGGTGTTACCAATTGGGGGTTCTATGGAGACTGACCAGACTTTAAAAGCTGGCGGAAGAGGTAACCATACTGGCTTTTGAAAGTCTAAAGATTCTTGGAATCCAGAACACATGCAGATGCCTTGAGAAGGCTCTCATCTCTCACCTCTGGCTAACCTTGAAACTCCGTGCAAGCAGAAAGTGAAGACTAAAATCTACAAACTGTCTTCCAGAGTGGTGAAAGCATGCCCCAACACACACACAAACACACACAGCCCCTTCAGCAAAGGCTGGGAGACTGGTTCAAGGCAGTTTAGGAAGCTCTTCCACTTGTTAGCTGACAATAATCTCCCCAAGCAGCCACACCCAGCAGAACACATTTTACAAAATTAATTCAAGAACATCACTGAAGAAACAGGAACAATAAACACTGAGGAGGAAGAGAGAAGGGGATTTCCTACATTAATACATTATTTAAAATATCCAATTCTCAACACAAAAAGGAATACAAGATCTGCAAAGAAACAGGAAAATATAGCCCATACATAGAAAAAGCAGTCAGTAGAAAGTGCAGCTGAGGAAATTCAAACATTGGACTAGTGGACATTAAAATCAACTACTATACATATGTTCAAAAAACTAAAACAATTTAAAGTGTGAAGACAGTAAAAAGAATACAAACAATAACCAGAAAGAAATTTTCAGAGTTAAAAAGTATGATCACTGAAAGGAAAAATTTCACTAAATGGACTGGACAGACCTGAACTGGCAGAGAAATCAGCAAATTTGAAGACTGAGGAGTCAAAATTACCTAGTCTAAGAACCAGAAGGAAAAGAATGAAGAAAAAATATGAAAAACCTGGTCAGAAGCTGGAACAGACAGGCCTGGCTCACTAAATAATCACTGATGAAGGGAAAGGTTAAGGTCACTTACAGACAAGATATACCCCTCGTTTTAGGAGTAACTATTTAACCAGCATACCAGCAGCAGATATGCTGCCCCAGGCAATGAGGACTTACCATCCAGTTAGGCCATTTTCCTTCTGGCATGTTTTCCATCCAGGATGTGATAATCTCAAACACACTGTTCCCAGAAAGAGTATTTAGCTTACTGAGATAATCGTTGAAGGGAAAGTCTGCTTCTTGAATAAAAGGCAATCCATAGTACATCATGGTCCTGTCAATGCTCTCTCCATAGGCTTCAGTCCCCATGAACCTGGAAGAATTGGCAGGGTGCAGTGTCCTCAGGGCCCGTCAGAAGACTGGGAAGCATTCTGCAGCTCCTTCAATCTGCCTATTAACCATATTTGGCTGGGCTCACTAGGAAGCATAATCGAGCCAGATGGCCAAGTGATAGCAATGCTGGGTGACCTGGACAGTTTCTCATTTCTCATGGACAATAAACCCAAGAACTAGCCTAATACTAGGCTGTGTCTAAGAGTTAAATACATTTGATTTCAGTCAATATTGTTCTCTTCCTCCTAAATCTGATTAAAACTCAGTAACTTCCATGAAGCCTATCAATTCTGATCACTGGTTAGAATCTACAGTGTATGTCTGCATATCACGAAAGGGGGTTTTCTCCAGAAACCTCTTGTATAGGAATCCTTGTAAAGTCTCACAATAATAATTGGGTGCACTCTTGGTTCTTAAAAACCAAAACTCTGGGGGTACCTGGCTGACTCAGTTGGTAGAGCACGCGACTCTTTATCTCATGTTGGGAGTACAGCTTCCTTAGAAGCAGACACTATTTAGGGAATGACACATTAGCCTGAAAAGACCCATGTCAGTGCTGGCTTTACCTGTTTGAGGTAACTGCACAGGTATTTCAGTCCCATCCCTGCCATTACTCCCTGCATGACCATTGCCTTTATGCTCAAATTCTGTTTTCTCAACTATAGAATGGGGATGGCAATCAGAGAGGACCTACTTTAAGGAGGAGAAATTTAATTATTTCTGTTGATACTATTGGGTGATCTGTATACACATAGAGGCTTAGTGAATGTTTATTACATGTCAGTCCCTGTTTTAAGTGCTTCATGATCTTATGCAGTCTCATAAAACCCTGACGGGTATTACTATCACCTTTTAATTGAGAAAATGGGACGTGAGTCAGTGAACCAACCCAAGGTCTCAGCTGTTACACACAACTCTTATGTTAGGTCCATCTGATCACAAAGCATTGTGCTCTACTAGCAGTTTAGCTGAAACATTTGGATTCATACTGTATACTGGACACCAACAGACCAAATTGTAATGGTAACAGTAGAATACTTAATGGCTAACATTTAGATTATATTTTATCTTTAAGTGATTTTCACAAAAATTCCTATGAAGTAAATACTGATGCACATTATTTTACAAATAAGGAAACAAAATCAGCAAAGTTAAGCAACATGAAGGAATATACTACGCCTTGGCATAACCGAATTATAATACATTGTAGTCATGGAGGTGTGTTAAATAGTTTGAATCTCTTGAGAATAACTGGCTGTGAAGGATAAACTACAGGTCACACCCTTCGTCTGTGAAGAACAGAATTATGTCCTGTAGTTACCTATATCTCCCAGGCTCCCTGCTGTACTGGTCCATTGTCTGCCGGAAACTCCGGACAATGTCATGCATTCCAACTTGCGTGGTGGTGAAGTCATGGTACAGCTCCCAGTAGTGTGTGACCGTGTCCTTTGGAAACAGAAAAGCACGACTGCCATCATTTCACATGACAAATCCCCATAGCTGGCCTTACGCAAATACGACATTCTCTTCAAAGGGCTCAAGCCAACGCATACATGCTGAAAGATGATAGTAGGACTTTCAATGCTCACGGGGTTTTGTGGCTGCAGCATAATATTAATGGCTATTATTAACTGTAGGTCTAGTAAGCTTTACTGAATAACAATTACAAGTGTATTTAACAGAATCCTCCTCCCAAACGTTTAATTTCTCCCAAATGCTGCACTTAAAGGCAAAGAAAACATACAGTTCATTATTACACCTATACTTGGTCAGCTCACAAAACCACAATCCAAAGTGTAATGGTAAGAAAAAGGCTAGAAGTGGTGTAAAAAAAAAAAAAAAAAAAAACCTTTGCCAGGGTTTCAGTAATTTTTCCTGTTATTCATTCTTTGCCTTCCTAGGGTTACAGTAATCTAGAATCCAAAGTAAAAGATTGTATCTAACACAAGCCAAGGTGGTTGGGACATGGACAGACTACACAGTATAAACCTGCATTGCCATCCATGCAATGGACCCCTTTTTGAAAATAAGTGAACTTACTTGTTAGATCAAGTGAAGGTTTTTGGAATCATGGGTCCCTTCTGAAGTAACTTTTTCTTAAGTTTTTCTTGGCAAACACACAAAACCTATTCTGATCATTTGTCATAACTGGAAACATACGCCTGTTTTACAGTATCTCATAATTAGCAAGGTTACTTTGAGATTTCTTCTCCAAGGATAAGTGCTCTCTGGGATTGAATAATACATCACACACACCTTCATTTTTCCTATTGGAAATCATCTGCTTTCCCTACCCCACCAAAAACTGGCCTTTGGTACATGACATGCTCTCATAATTAGTCCATGAATTGCCAACTTTAGTTAATTGATTTGGTTTAATGAGATCAATAAGTAACCATAAATCTGTTACTCAGGACAAAAGCTAGACACTTGATAATTAACCATCAATTTCATTTTTCTTTATTAAAAGGGCATCATGCTATATATGTTTTAGGGTTTTTTCACTAAACATTACACTGCTAAGATTCACCCATATTGTGTGTCACTGTAATTCATCTATTTTGACTGCTGCATATAATATTTCCATTGAATAAATCTACAAATCCATTATTTTGAAACCCATTTTAGGACTCCTGTCTATTTAGCCATTGAACGTACAGTGTCTGTAGAGTGGTGGTCAACCAGAAGAGCAGAGTGGTGTCCTGATTACTGTTTCTCATGTGTGACATGGGGGGAAAGGTGAGAACTGCTGGTGTAGCTACCAGACTCTGTAGCAAGGGAGGCTTGGTTTATAATTCTGTTTATCACCTCTGTCACCCCTGAAAAGTTGACTTCTCTAAGATTTGCTAAATGGGGATCATGAAATGTCTCATGAGCTGTTACAAAAGTTAAATGGACTATCCTAAGTAAACACATTACATACAGGAGACACTCAGCAAGTGTTTGTTCCCTTTGGTGTATCCTTTAATGACAACAAAAGCACCTGGGGAATTACAGGCCTCCTCCTCACTTGAACTTGAGTGAGATGACAAAATCACAGTGAGTGGTTACAGCTCTTGGTGGAGTCCAGTGTCCATGCCCTCAGAACCCTTGTCACCAAAATACTTCTTAAGGATGCTCTACACCAAAGGGAACCAATGGAAACATCTAAGAATATGGATTTGAAATTCCTGCTTCCTGAAGAAAATGATTCAAAGCACTACCTGTAGGGGTACCTACAGGGCTGGGCTCAGTGGAGCATGTGACTCTTGGGATTATGAATCTGAGCCCCATATGTTGGGTGTGGAGTTTACTTAAAAAAAAAAAAATGGGTGGTGCAGCGGTTTGGCGCCTGCCTTTGGCCCAGGGCACGATCCTGGAGACCCAGGATCAAATCCCACATCGGGCTCCCTGCATGGAGCCTGCTTCTCCCTCTGCCTGTGTCTCTGCCTCTCTCTCTCTCTCTGTGTGTGACTATCATGAATAAATAAATAAAATCTTAAAAAAAAAAATGGGACGCCTGGGTGTCTCAGTGGTTGAGCGTCTGCCTTTGGCTCAGGGTATGATCCCGGGATCCGGGATCGAGTCCCACATCAGGGTCCCTGCATGGAGCCTGCTTCTCCCTCTGCCTGGGTCTCTGCCTCCCTGTGTGTGTTTCATGAATAAATAAAGTCTTAAAAAAAAAAAACTATGCCTTAAATTCAAATGCCTATATTAATAAATTTAACTACATTCTCATCTCTGGTCATTGGTGTCTCATGCTAAAAAAGAAAACATAGATGACATTTTCAGAAAGGGGGAAAAAATAATGTTTAAAAACTTTACCGGTATTTGAGCCTTGTTCACTTGAGCTTCATCTCTCAGATGTTCTGCTTCTAGAAGAAATTTAACAGCATCGAAACTAAAACCATCAACACCCTTTGTGAGCCAGAACTGTATAATTTCCTAAACATGAAGAAGCAAAATGCTTTGGTTACATTAACATTATAATCACTTCCCATCATGAAACAGCCATTTCCACATACAAAATCAGCACAGCACTCATATGGTGTATTTTTATCTGGTAGGCGTAGCAGTGTTTTAATATAATGAACTCTCAGCTGCATCTATGGACTCCCACACTTCCCTCAGATTTGAATTCAGAATGTTCCATTTGTAATGGTTATGAGCGCATTTGCAAAGCTTAAAGAATCACTCAAAAGGAATGAAACCACGCTGAAAGGACTCGGGAGAAACTGGGAACATATCTTCTCCCATGCCCTGTTCCTTAACAGTCACTCCAAACAGAGAAAACAATCAGCCAAGCATCAGGTCATGAGGGGTTCTTCCACCAGACTGGGAAATTCCAGAAGGAAAAACTGCAGCTTTCGTTTGTTTCCCTTGCCTCTGACACAGCACCAGGTCCTTAGTGAAGAACACAGTATCAAGCCCAAAGAAGTCCAACATGCTGGGATACTGTTGGGACACTACAAGTACATGTCCCCTGGCATCCGAGCATCTATAGTTGGGGGCCCATGAGACAGGAGAGAGTTACCTCCTGTGCAAGGTGGGTGTAGCTCAACAACATGAAAGGAGATTCCCTTTCAGGATGTTGGAGCTCCCAGAAGAATGGATTTAATAGATTTAATGTGGACACACGTGGAGAAAGGAGAGATACCGGTTCTACTTTGACCAGTGACAGTTTATCAGGGAGTGAGATTACAAAGAACATTCTGGACTATTTGTAGGACAGGATGGCCAAGCACACAGGCAGAGACTGACTTGGCCTCTGTTGGGGCAGGTGAGAGGACCAAATGCCCTCGGAGAGCAGAGGGCCTCGATCTCAGCTCCCCACCTCCTAGCTGGCCCTATGCTAGCACCAATCACAGGCTACCCTTCTGCAAAGGGACAGTGACTCTCCCCACTTTCCTCTCAGCTCATCCTTTGCCAAATAGGTTTTATAGGAAAGTACTTACCAGATTAGAACAAACTGCCCATAATTCAAAGTACTAGAGTTAAGTAGCTAATTGATGGAGGGGAACAGAGTCACAGCTCCCAGATGAAGACTATCCCCCAAAATCACATATTTCCTTTTGACGTTGTTTCTCGTATCTACATGTGTATGCGGGGTCTCTGGAGTGCTGCAATTCAAGGATTTCCACAGTTTCTACGTACCACAGGCAAGGGTTAACAATGCTGAGGTCAAATCCCTTTAAGGTGACATTTTTGAATAACAAAGCTTGAAAAGCATTTTCAAATCTAAGAGCAGGCTCCTTACCAGTCTTAGCATGGATGCAATTGAACCAAATGATGTTAAGCAGGCTCTACCCACACAAAACCCACAAATGTGTTCTTACTAGCATCTTACTCTTACCAAATAGACTCATTCAATAAGTATTTGGGCCGGGCACTTAGCTAAGCCCTATCATCATGAGCAAACTACAACAGATGTGGCCCTCGGTCTCCTGAATTTACTTAGAATCCCCAACTAGACATCAAATAGTAATGCAAAATTTAAATCACAGCCAGATAGAGCTTTAAAGGAGAGGAACTTGGTAGTACAAAAAGGTGAAATAGCAGGATCTGCCCTGGATGGCAGGAAGTAAGGACAACTGGTTAGCTGTTGAAAGCAAAGTCAACAGAGATATTAAGGCACCCCATTTGCAGAATAGTCTCAGGGGCTCGAGGGGTCAATTCAGCATGAAGCCAATAAAGCTTTAAGCTTCAGAACCCCTCCCTTAGGCAGGCCCCTTCCTACCTCCCTTCTTCCCCTGTTCTAAATAAACACTCTACCTAATTTTATGCTATTTTGAGAAGGCCTCAAATTTTCACCAGCTTCAGACCCCACTCTACCCGGGTCCACCCCCAGATGGCGCTGAACTTGAGGGAACACAGGAGGTCGAGACGGGAGGTGGCGGGTGGAGGAAGGACGGACAAATAGCTGTAATCCATCCAAGCCACCTCTGACAAAAATGTGGGAAAACGTTAAAAGCCATGCCGTTGTAACCATTAGGCTTTGGAGCACAGATTTCCTAGGGGGAAAAAAATCTGTTTCTTCATGGGTCCTTCTTCCCTCTGGGGAATAGTTAGCCTTGCCAACTGTTGACCCAGCCATACAAAATGAGAAATGTGTACCCCAGCAAAAGGGTTCTGGCCCTGGCAGGGGTTCTCACTTTAGTCCAAGAAGAGATACTATCATTGTTTAAAGAGACAAAACAGTAAAACCTGGGTATTTTGGGGAGTCATTGTAAATGACATAATCCAAAATTTGCTCTTGAAAAATATTTGCTTTATGCTATTTATTCTCCCAACTAGGTGAGAAGAGGGAGCTCCAGATCTTAATCGTTAACTCTCTCCTTACTCCAGTTAAGCCCTCCCAGGGTGCCGGGTACAAAAATGGGCACAGAGCCTAGTTCTGCTGGGTCTGGGTGACCCACCAAGGCACCATGGGACTCTTGGGACAGTACACTGTGTCCCCGATTCCTGTACAACTCCCATGACATCACAGAGTCCTGGTTTTTCTACCAGGCACCTTTTCATCCTTTTTTTCTTAAACAGCTCACTACTCTGAGTAAAAAAGGAATCAATCCAACATTACTAATATCCAAATTCACAAAACCTTGAGGCAGACCTCCTCTTCTGCGATGACTGAAATTATTGGGCCCATTTATCTAAAAAACTTAGTTTGGGAAATAGAAAAGCTCTGCTCTTACGTGTGGTGATCTGTAAGACATCGTCTTGAAAGTGACATAAACCCCAGGTCGGCTATCTGAAGAAGAAATGAGACAGTATAGGATATTTGAAAAGTACAGAGAGAAAACTATATACTCTGTTTACAAGCAAAGGAAAGACCCTACTGCTGTCCAGGAGTCCTGGTAAAATTGTTGGCTAACTCCTCCAGGAGCAGGGCGTGGAGGAAGGATCATGAGCTCCGGATTCTAACCCACCCGGGAACCATCCCATCTCCCCACTGTCCAACCAGCTGTGTGCATTGGGGCATCTGCATGACCTCACTAACCACCTTGCAGTCTCTGTGAGGACTAAGGTATTGCTTCTAGAGTCAGTTCACACTTGGGTCTTCATATGATCTGATCTCTCTGCAGTGTTTGACACTGCTGACTGAAATCTTCCAGAAAAATTCATATACCTTAACTCCAAGATACCTGCTCCTCGTTTAACACTTTTCTCTGTCTACTCTGCAGTCTTTTTTTTTTAAGATTTATTTATTTATTTATTTATTTATTTATTTATTTATTTATTTATTTGAGAGAGAGCATGAGTGAGATGGGCAGAGGGAGAGAGAGAGTCTCAAGCAGAGCATGGAGACTGACATGGGGCTCGATCCTAGGACCCTGAGGTCATGACCTGAGCTGAAACCAAGAGCTGGCCACTCAACCAACTGAGCCACCCAGGTGCTGCTAGTCTGCAGTCCTTTAAATATTAGCACTTTTTGGGGTTCTTACCTACTGTTCATTTCATTTCACAGCAGTATTTACTCATTTATCTACCCCTTTATTATTTAACAAGTATCCAAAAAACAAGAAACACCCTGCCCTAAATGCCTTACAGAGACACCTGGGTGGCTCAGTCAGTTCAGCTCAGGTCATGATGTCAGGGTCCTGGGACAGAACCCCACGTTGGGCTCCCTGCTCAGCAAGGAGTCTGCTTCTCCCTCTCCCTCTGTCCTTCCCCCTACTCTCTCTCAACTAAAGAAATAAAATCTCAATTAAAAAAAAACTTTTCCCCATCAACCCTACGACATATGTGCTATTACCCTCCCTATTTCACCAATGAGGGATCCCAGGCACAGGGGGATAAAGTACGTTGATCAAGGTCATAGAGTTAGTAAGTAGAGGCAGCAGAACTGGTACCCTCTGGCACCCTTACTCATTTGCTCTGCTTTCTCCTCCAGGTCTGTCCCACTCAACCCCCTTCTCCAAAGTTACTGACTTCCAAAATGCAACCAGAAATGCAGCTGGAAGATCTTCTAACTCTTGGCCCTTTAATTTCCACGTGGCAACAATCAGCTGGAGCTCAGCTGCAACTGACCCCCTTCCTCATCCTGGCCGGCCCAGGGCTCTCACTGCAATTACCTGCCTGACCTGTGTAGGCCTTGTCCACATATCAGCAAATCCCAGAGAATTTTATCTCTAGGCCAGACACGTCTCTGAACTCCTTGTCCTTATATCCAACTCTCAATTGAACAGTTGATGTCTCACAGAGAGCTCAAACTCTCCAAAACTAAGACATCCCCCTCTCCTTTCTCTCTCATCACAGGAAATGACACCAGTGCCAGTCAAATCTGAAACCTGAGAGTCACACTAGATTCCTCGCTAAGTAACCTGATGATTTCCCTGCAACCCTGAGCCACCTCATTGCACTGAACCCTGATATTTTTTTCCTGATGGCTGAACCACCCTCTGCCCTGGCCCCTCTGCCTCTGAAAATACCCCACTCAAATCCCCTCTCCAAAGTTATTGATTTCCAAAATGCAAAGAGCAAATGATTTCCCTACGATCTTGTAAAGCCAAATCTTCAGCACAGCCCTGCTTCATCCCCCTCTAGTCTCATCTAGCAAGCTCCCTCTCCATATACCATGTCCCAGCCATATTGGACGACTCCAAGCACCTCCGATGTGCCATGATCCATGCCTTCCCAATGCTTGACCCAGGCCTCTCCACTTGGCTCAGTCCTTCTCATCCATTAGATATCACTACATCCTCTGAAAGCTTTCTCCGCTGTTTCACTCATGTCCAGATTAGGTGCCTGCCCTGTGTACTCCTACCTCCTGCCATCACAACCACTCAATACACTTACTGAAACAGTCTGTTTCATGGTCTACCTCCCACTTAGGGATATAGCCCCAAGATGGCTACAGCATGTGTCTAGCTTACCAACCATCATACCTCTGGCATGTGGTCAATACATAATACACACTGCCAAATGAGTCAAGGATTTATACTAAA